ATATAATATAAATAATCCGGTGCTGTCACTCCTGCACTTTCTGCTAATATACATCACAACATTAATACGGTTTGCTCCTTTAAATTATTTGAATCAGCCAAGTGTTGTGCTGCTGACTTTGCTAATTCTAAGAATTCAGTTAAACTGAATTTATTATCTAATTAGGGGAAGAGAGAGTAAAACTACAATATTTTTTGAACCTCTATTCTTATAAGATCTGTATTGCCGACCTGTTAGATTTAGAGGAAGAAGACTATTTTATATTTTAGTTTGTCATAACATCCCATAACAAGACCGAATATTAGAATTTCAAGAGTAAATATTTACAAAGAAGGCAGCTTGACAAAAATGTGATATTATAGGATAAACTTACATAACTGGTATCTGTGGTGTCTGAATCAATCCAGACGAGTCTTTTCCGAACAATGTGACGATGCAGCTTAATTTATTTATATTAAAAGTTATCCTTTTATTATTAATTTTTAAAAAAAAAAAAAAAAAAAAAAAAAAAAAAAAAATTTTATTTATTATTCACAAACATGTGACAGAGTGCTATGATATACACGCCGGAGGGCGGTAAATATGTTATAATCATCAACCAAAGAAGATCGTTTTTTTTTATTTTTATTATCTCTCGTATACCTTTTTGTTGTTGTTGTCAAAGTTATACGTGATTGTTATTCGATCGCTGTACCGAATGCTTTGCGCAATCACAAGAAATATTTTCGACTTGATTGAATCAAACAATAAAATTGCTACAATTGCTGGTGTTATCTATACCCGATGCTTATTTCGATAAAACCCAAATTGTTGATGGTTGCGATCTTCTAAATAGGAAAAATAAAGGAGTTCCAATATTTCAATCCCGTTTCAGTTGATTACAGGATAAAGCAGCATATCCTAAGCCCATGGTCAATTGCAGTCATATTCGCTAAATGGGATTAACAATTATCTTATCACGCAAGACTGTAATGTGTAATGTGTTCCTTTTGTTCGTTTCTCTTCTTATGTCATTTGGTAGGATTTATACCTTACCAGTTATGCAAACATAGATAGATGGATTGTAAAATTTTAACCACTAACGTTCAAAGACTTAGCCCCAAATAGCCAGGTGTAAACATGCTAAATTTGTATATATATATATATAACGGAAGAAGTAGTGTTAATAGTTTCAAATACAAAGAATTAGCAAAGTCAGCAGCACAACACTTGGCTGATTCAAGTAATTTAAAGGAGCAAACCGTATTAATGTTGTGATGTATATTAGCAGAAAGTGCAGGAGTGACAGCACCGGATTATTTATATTATATTTATAGAATCAACATGTGAAGTTGGTTTGTCGATCATTACGGTTTCGATAATCATTGTCCTCATTGTCAAGCCAACTTCAATCAGGCGACATCCGAGAGCATATTTATCATACTTTCGAATATTTAGGCATTTTTAATCATGAGGCTGAACTCAGAGAACGCACGCTTTAGCCAATCATCAGTTGGGAGAATGTGCGTTTCGAACGGATACACGATGCAAATGGAACTTCACAAAGAGTGCGCTACATTTTTATTGGAATTACTGAAACTGCTTAGGAGGGAAATTAGTTAAGACGTATTACAACATGAATGGTTAGTACCAAGAAGCGCTGATTGGATGGAAAATTATGCACTTTGCTTGTCGAAACGAAATTTCGCTCTGAAATGTATATATATAGCGAACGCGATTTTCTTGAAACAAAGCATAAAGTTGCCTGTAAACCTAAACGAGATCAACATGAATATTGAAGAGAAACTATTTCATATGTAGTCAGTGTCCATTCGAACATGTACTTTATCAAATATATATATATATGCTGTGTTTGTGTTCCTTTCACCAATCCTCTCGTACTCTATTTGCAGCGTACTTAAGACAGGAACATGAAGCTCGAGACGTACCATTCGTTTAGATATTAACGACTCCACGTATGCTTTGCTTATGCAACAGGAATATATATCTTCTTCATACCTCGTAATTATTTTTGTTGTGGAAAATAGAATGTGGAGAAAGCCGGCATAGTTGTACACTTAACGATGTATCACACAAGTTAAGGGTCACTTATTACAAGGAGTTCTGTGGTAAGGTTTTGCATACTCCCCAAAAGCTTTGAGCATCACTCATTTTAAGGAACCTAACTCACTCACGTTGCAAACTGCAGCATAAAGCAATTTAACTATAACATCGATTCAGCCAATTGATGAAAGTGTGTAGTAAAAAATGTGCGCGACGGTAATGACAGCATCCAGTAGTTTTTTGTTCTATAAAAGCAAAAAAAAAATATTTCGCAAATTGAAAGCGCGAATAAAATTCAGTTTACTGTATACCCGATATAAACAATGATGACAAACTATCGTCTCAGAAGTCTTAATCGCGTGAAAACCTATCTTATGGAAGCAATAAAAAATAAAATATTTTTATTAGTTCCCCTTTATTATTATTATATTGCTACGAAATGCTTTTCTTGATACGGTTCGTAACATTAGATCGGGGATTTTTTTTTTTTTTTTTTCGATTCTCGACTAACAACTCAAGGGTCGTGCGTTCGAATCTCAAGTGCGGTACAGTTTCGAATAAAGGCGATAGCCTTAGATGCTAGTGCTTTAAGACTTTATCAGTTAATAATAATAATAATAGTTTTATGTTAACTTTAAAAAAAAAAAAACATTTATTTTATTTATTACATACTAGGCTACGGAAATTGTTAAATATATTAATCAGATTTTTTTTGTTTTTTTCAAATTTACCAATTTGTATACGTTTTCAAATCTCATACAATGTAATTTTCGAAATGATTTTTGTTAAAAAGCTGCTTCTGCATGCATGCAATGCAAACATAAATGTATTAATTAGAAAGTAATTTAAAAATTATTTTTAACTAAAAACTTGATTTTGTATTTAATAAGAACGTTATTTATGCTCAAAGAATAAAATAATGTATGAATGTAAATAACATTTATTGTCGAACGTTTGATAACATTTTATGCTACAATTTGGCGAGAAATGCTGTTATAGGCGAATTTCATTTTCTATCCGATATTCAATTACTTATAAACGTAAAAATTTTTATTAATAATAATGTTAGAGGGAAATATTGAAATCATTTCAACTTAATGATCAATACGTACCATCCGCTTAGCAAATGCTGAATGACGCATAATGTTTACATTGTTTGTTGAAATTACGCACATCTTCCGAACTCGTACCGTTAAGACATTTGAGACACCTTCTTATGCAAAAAGCTGCCGCATAGATATCTAGAGAGACGTATTACCCTTTGCACTGCTAACACACCTAATATAAAATTATCCGCAAAAGTCAAATTTGAGCAGCACGTTTGTGCTAAACGTGCGAAAAGTAACGGTTTCCGTTGCGCACGAACCATACGATCTTATGATGAAGACTTTCGATCATGACAATCAGATCCGATAAATAAGAATGATATTGACTGAGATAATTTTCAATAATTCGACGACAAATAACGATATATTTTTAATGTTCAATATTTAAGTATTTAAGGATGCCCTAATAAATACTCTCATTTCATCTACGTAAATTATTTATTTCATCCAATCGCATTAAAGAACTGATTTTATGAAAAATAAAAATAAAAACAAAAATACAAATACAAATAAAAATAATAATGTTTAATCGACAATGCAACGAACGAAATCTGCCAAAAATATATAAACAAAATTTTTTAATAAATAAAATTAACTAAATATGTGTATATTGTTTATTTATATTTTTATAAGATATTCTTAAAAACACTCATATATATATATATATATATGTTAAATAAACAAATAACGATGGTATATAAAAGAAGCTCTTAAATGTTTTAAATTTTTTATTTTTAGTTGCGTAGAATTGTGAAAATAAATTATTTCGAGAAAAACTATTTTCTTATTTAAGAAGCAGGCGGCAATTGATGTAAGAAGTGACGCAAAGCATTAAATTCGAAAGAACGGTAAGACAAGAGAGCAGCAAGAGAAAGTCTTACTACGTGTAGCATCATAAAATAATGTACTGTAATAAGTACATCAAAACATTTTCAATAATCAATTAAGACATCTGGAGGAGATTACAAAAGTTTTTTTTATATTGCTTCGCCTTGCCTTGCCTTGCCTTGCCTTGCCTTGCCTTGCTTATACCGCGACTGGGTTGTCTTCGCCTCTCATCTGAATTGAATTTTTACACACACAACCGTAAACTAATTATTAGATAGGGATCATATTTAAATTGCATTTGTATATAAAGTTTATAACCTGCTGATCCTAAATTAGGCTTTTCAACACTATCGTTTTTTTTTTTTGACTGATTCTAGCAAGTATTTATTACATCGAAATTCTTTCTATATATGAAAAATGCTTTCCTTTCCTACAAAGCTACTTTAATAATCATATGTGAAAGACTGTAGGAATATGCAATGAAAATCACTCTAATAGAATAGATTGAAACTTCAACACAATGAACGGAGAGCATAAAAAGAAATTTTTTTGTAATCTGATCGAATCAAAGGCGGAAGGAAAAACCATTTGAATTAATAATGAACGCGCTCGATATTTGATTAAAATGAAGACTAACTTTAGTCAGTTTTGAAAAATATTTAAATCCAACCATAAAATCTATGGCTTATATCATTTTTATTATTATTACGGGTAAGCATAAAACGTAACTGTGTGGAATATTTCACCTCCCGAATATATTTACAGGTAAAAAGGGTTTCATTAAAGAAAAAATTGTTTTATAATTCTTAAGATATTTCCAACTTTTTTCGATTAAAAGGCGTTGAAAAGTATGTAGAAACTTTTCAATTGGAAATTATTACCTAATAAATTGTTAAGAAAGAGCAATAGAGAAATATTTTTGAAAGTTACCTATGATATATATCTATATATATGAAAAATGCAACGAGAATAAATCAAGCCTATAAGCAAATTATCGAAAAGAGATCAGATATGAACTTGATCTTTTGATAATCATTTTTACCATTTATTACCATGAAAAATATCTTACATTGCGTACACGTATTCATTTATTTACTTATCATTTAGGCTATTAATTAATAATTAAACAGAGAAAACCACATAACTTAACCCAAAGCAGTTAAAACAATATCTCTAAACGCATCTTTCAATAAAATGTTATTCAAACAAAACTAATTTAAGTAATTTTAAGAAGTTCCGTTACAGCAAATATATAGCTTTATATGGAAGAGTGCTTCGCAAATTTATCGTTCAATATATTGCCGATCATCTTCTCTCATACTCTGACAACATATAAGTACTGCACTAAATCTTTTGAGGTTCTCGCTGAACAGTCTCTTTTTTTAGGTATCGGCATAAGAATCGTATCACTGCTCGCTGATTATATAATAGCTATTAATCGATTGAGAAAACATCTATTAGAAGAAGTACGATAAAGTGAAGTCTAAAAAGTAATGCTATGGTATATAAGAGTTACTACGATATATTAATGTTAGGCTCACACCCTCCTTCATAATCTATCGCAACTCGACGTGTATTGCCAATATATATCTGTCGTTAGGGTACGTATGTCAAGAAAATAATCTAAATTGAAAATTGATAATAAATAAAAGTAAAATTTTTCATTCGATTATCAGAAGTGAAAGGCAAAAATGTCAATTGGGCTTTCTCTTGTGTATACAATTTAATCAAAGAGAGCAAATATCCAAAGCCAAGTTGTACATATTAAAAAGTAGATCTCTAGAATTAATAGACTTATAAATAAAAGACCCCTATATATATATAATACATACATACATACATAATTATTATGGTATATACAATACTCAGCGTCGGAAATGCGCTAATTTTCTTGAATTTATTTCAATATTAAAATTTCTATCTTAGCGAAATACAAAACGATTTATAATTAGAATACAATCACGTGACTCGATGAAGAATTTTTTAATACAAAATAGATATTTTTTTACACATTATAGTGTCTCCATTACATAATAAAAGAATTGATTTATAACTACATACATTATACGAATATTTTAACGATGCTTGTTTGATAACAAACTATGATTTGCTATTTAATTACTTATATTCTGAAAAATGTACATATCTTACAACGAAATGAATAATCATTTACAACAATATAAACTTTACAACAAACATAGGTATATAAAATTTAAAAATATTTAAAAATATATTTTAATAAAAAGTTCTTTCAATCGACATTGGCTAATCGTGGAAGGGAGCTCGCCGTTTCTGCTCTAAATATATTGCTAATACCGCCTATGCTAGTAACACTATGCGACCCGGAATTTTGAAAATAAATTAAAATGTAACGCTCATCGCCTTTCATTTCAATATCTTCGGCAAAATCGAGGCGTACAATTTCTTCGTTGTCGCGCGTTTGGCGACGCAAATAATCCCGATTTCGATTACGTTGGCTAAGACGACGAGGGCTGTGGGCAAAAAAAGGATCTGTAGACAAATCCGGCGAAGGCGGTGGCGATTCAGCTTGGCAAACGTATTCATAGGCCACATAATCCCGCAAGCTTGTGTACTCGAATTGATAAATACCAATCCAATCATGATCGCATTCCTTAAAGGTTAGAGGTTTTGTGTATTCTACAGTGTTTTCCTCACCAATTCGCCAAACGTTCAAGTCCGAAAAACGTATATTTGGTGTTTTGTAGCCAGGAAACAATTTGATGAAGAATTCACCTGTTACCGGCTTATGATCGCTTATTGAATAGCCTGGATGAGATTTATAAGAAAACTGATCAGCATGTAACTGTGTATTTGGATTGCAGTTATCAGGTTGAATACCATAAAGAATTCGGTCTGTCCATGCCGCACGGCGTTTAAGATCGTATTCGCACGTGCCTTCCTTAAATTTAAATGTAGGCGGAAAAGTGGGTTTCCGTTCATTTAACACATGGAATGCTTCCTGAGTCACCTCTCGCACGTATGAAAGTTGATCACGTTCCATCAGTTGCTCAAAAGCACCGGCAGCTATTGCCATCTGAACTTCTTTAGAGGTATCGTCGCCAGATAGTCGAAAATTTAAATCTCCAAACCAGAATACATAATCATGATCATATATTCCACGAAATCGTTTAACATGATAATGGTGATTAGCCATAATTTGCTTAAAGTCTTGAATACGTTCTTCTAAATGACTATCATGGGCGGCTAAGTGCGCGTTCACAAAGGTCATATCACAGCCGTACAAATTAAAACGTATACTGACTGCGCCCTTATTTCCCCATATACCGCCGAATCCAGTTCTTGTATATTCGGCTTCGATATCACGCAAATAATTCACATGAACACGTTTTATCAGCATTGTTAATAGTAAACCTTGCATTTGCTCAGTCTTAAAGACCACGTACCCAAGGTCTCCCAACGTTGACTTGACTTTTGCCGTCCATGGATCCTCTTTAAATAAACCCAAAACTTGTTGTTGAGGCTGTACATTGACTTCTTGTAACCCGACAGCATATATATCCGGCATGTGTTCATGCTCAGTGGAGTCCAAACCGAGAAGGTTGCGTAAAGAAATGTTGTCTGGGAATCGACTCCCAACGTTCCAAGTGATCACATACACTCGATATGTTGCTACTTCCAGACATGATGAATCAAGGTTTAAATGTTTAGTATTAGTATTCGGCTGTGAAGGTAAAATATCACTCATACTTATAAAATAAATTCACTTTAAAAGTTTTAAAAACTGCAATAATTTATCAGAGTACTTGTATTTATAATGCGCTCACTTCTCTTGGTGCGCAATTGGTGACAAATTTATTATTATAACATCTGTGTGTATATTACTAATTAACAAAACAATTAAGGAGATAAATGCTGAAGAGAGGAGAAGTTAGGAAAACAAAAACACGCACACATACTTAATCATTTTACGCAATTTTATAATTTACAGCAAGAGATGCCATTTTTAGTGTTGCCACGCATAAAAATTTTCTTGTTATGTTCTAAATAAATAAATAAACTGCAGCAGTTTGCGCCAATCTTTGAATTGAAAATATATTAATTCAGGGTGGATGAATGATGACGAGAAGTTTCTTAAATCGTTTATGTTTCCACTCTAATTTCTTTTATTTTTATATATATATTATATATGAATTTAACATATGTATGTACTTGCGTCTATTGTCAAATTATTTAATAAAAAAGTAATAAAAAAAAAAATTATTTATATTAATTTATTTAAAAAAAAAAAACCGGATCACGAGCGGTATGGACATTGTTCTTAAAGCATCGCTTGGTCGAATTATTTGTAATAGGTACTTCAAGTCCGCTTTCGAAACATGAAACTCTTCTGATTGTGTTTCTTATGTTCTTTTGACACGATATTGCAAAATAAACGGAAGTGATGATAAGCGTGCAATATCAATATTCTTATTCACGGCATTTAGATTTTATTAAAGATCGCTAGTTAGTTAACAATGTTATTTTATTAACTATAATGTGAACTTACCAGGAATAATTCAATTGGTCTTCGGCTTTTTTTTTCCTTATTTTTCCTATTTTGTTTTAAGGAAAATTATATTGCAAAGAAATTTATATTAATTTTATACCTCTTCGTAAGCGTTTACGTAAACCATATGCAAACCATATTTTGCTTTAGTCATGCATGCAAGTTGCATGTTCAACTGATTTTGCGTTGTGCGTTGATCTCAGTAACGCAAGTTAGCGCTTTAAACTTCAACCAATGGAAGCGATTTGTTTAGTAAATCTGTATGTTTGCATAAATCTTTATATACAAAAGTAATGCAAGCACAGAAAATTATCGTGATACATCCGGGTTCACTGTACTTGCGGATTGGACGAGCCAGCGATCTTAACCCTACTACTATTCTCCACGCTATAGGGAAGCGAAGGAGGAAAAATCTTAAAAGCAATGAAGATTTGATTTATTCCGACTACTTGTTACCGCCCTTGGTGGCAGGAGAAGCACAAGATAGTGTTATGACTCAATTTCATGAAAACAGTGTTCATGCAGCGCATTCTATTCAAGCTCATGTCGCTCAATGCGAGGACAGGCAAGGTGGTTTAAAGAGAATTCGCATGGCACCTCAAAAAGTTGCCTCGTTTAACAAAAACTCTACGCCTCAGGTTACGTCAGATGATGACTTGCGTACTCAAGAAGAATCGAAGGAAAGTGAATTTATTTTTAATTCTTCAATAATAAGCTTAAATGCACAAGAAGCTTCAGCATACAATATACACTTTCCTCTAAGGCGAGGAGAGTTAAATATTCACAGTGGGATTGGCGGCTCCTTGACTTCAATATTATCTGATTTAGAATCCATATGGAGCTATGCAATAGAAAAACATATGAACATTCCTCGGAAACAATTAAATCAATATGGAGCTGTTTTAGTGATTTCAGATATTTATAATCGGAGTATTTTAAGGGAATTGGTAACGCTATTGTTGCAGTGCTTAGGTTTTAGAGCATGCTTCCTTCTACAAGATCACGTGGCAGCTACTTTTGGTGCTGGCTTAGGTTACGCCTGTGTTGTAGATGTCGGTGACCAAAAATGTTCCATTTCTTGCGTTGAAGATGGTGTTTCCCACCCGGACACACGTGTACGTCTGGGATATGGTGGAGGCGATGTGACCCAAGTATTTCTAGCTTTATTGCAGAAAAATAATTTTCCTTATAAAAAATGTAATGTAAATGCAAACTATAGTGATGCTGCTTTAGTAATGTCTTTAAAAGAAAATATGTGTCACTTGAATTTAGAAATATGCGAAACTCAAGAGAAGTCTTTCGAGGTAAGATATTAAATGTTGCGCAAATATTGTTGGAAATAATTAAATTATAATGTTTTATAGGTTGAGAAGCCGCCAAAACGTTTTCTATATACATTTCAAGTAAGTGATGAGTGCAAAGTAGCGCCGCTTTCACTATTTCACACTGACTTATTAAATATTACTGGCAAACAACGATTGGTACGATTACAGCTGCCAAGTAGTCAACAACCAGATTCGCAAGACTGTTTTGATGCCGAATATATAAGGGAAACCGGTCGGGTACGTAGTGGACGCGGAGATCAAATATTAGAAGGCAGTATGCCCGTTACGTGCGATGCGGGCGATGACGAGCTGGTTGTTGTAGATGCGTTTGATGTGGACGAACGCGTCGTAAATCCACGAAACGTAGATAAGGACGAACAGCTTTATTACTTTACGAATAATGGAGAAGTAGTTTCTCTAGACTTGGCGATAGTACGTAGTATAGAACGTTGCACCTCCGACGATATGAAACGAAAAATGTATGGTTGCATTTTACTGGTGGGTGGCGCTAGTAAATTGCCCGGTTTTAGCAAGTGGTTAGAACAAAAGATTACCTTACAACTGGCGGCAAATACTACTCATAACCGCTCTACGGAACAATCCGCTTTATTTGATGTGAATGTATGTGTGAAAGAAATGGATGCTGCCATGATTGCATGGAAGGGAGCCGCTATAATGTCATGCTTAGAAAGCGCTCCTGAATTATGGATTTTTGGCAAGGAATGGAAAAAATATGGTCTTCGAATATTACGTGAGAAGGCAACATTTATATGGTGATTTACATAAAAATTTGCCCGATTTCCATCTTTTTACGGTTTTTCATAACTTCTTCTTCTCCATCATTTATTATATTAGTATATATTAGTATATATTATATATATATTATATATTTTATATTAGTATATATTATATATATATTATATATTTTTTATTATTATTAATAATTATTTATAAATTAATTAATTAATTAAAAAACTGTTAAAAGAAATTTAAGCAAAAAAATTTAGATTTTTTAGTATTTATATAAAATATATGGACCATTGTTTTACAATAGTGGGCTACTTGGCGTTGTGAAGTTAAATTTTATAAGACTTAAACGTTTTAAACGCAAATTTTAATATTTAATATTTTTTGTTGCGAATTTTCGACATAATTCGCTAGTCTAGGTGTTTCGGTGTGCTTGACCCCAAATATGTGCATAAATCGGATAACGTTGAATGCAGTAATTTCGCCTTAATCGTGTGGCGCTGTAATCGCTTGTAGGCCTCGAAACGATGGCAGCCTCCAAAGCTGAAATAATAATTACCACCTCTTGATCCCTTTATCCAAAGTACATCAATTGGTGGAACTTCATTAATGGTTTCTGCATTCTGAAATCGATATATTAGCTCCTTATTATTGAAATTAATGTATATATATATATATATATAATGAGCTTTCGTCACCTGTATTGTTTCCATAAGCGATTTTACTTTGTCCTCATCTAAAACCGAAGGTATTGGTCTACGAATCACATTTATTGGCACCTCATGAATCTCATCTATGTTTGCAGTGTGCACCGTTGCGTCATAGGGTTTTGAAGCGGACATTCTGTCTATGATTTGGAAAGATATTGTTTTAATAAAAAATTTAACTGACAAAATCTAAATATATTGCAATTTATACGCACTTGTACTAAAAATGCGTCTGCTAACTTGTGAAATTAAATACATTATAAATATTGTGAATTCACTTTATAAAGTATGAATGCCTCTAGAACTCGTTTTTGACGTTCATTAACAATGCCGCTGTTTGTATATTATATGTTGTGTGTTGTAATTGTATGTATGTATGTATGTGTTTGTATGTGTGTGTGTGTGTGTGCCTATGTGTTTATGCACTCTATTATAGTCACATTTTATACACATATATAATCTTTCTGGAGGTTAAGCGAATGTACTTTTATGAATATGTTACGGTTTTTAACTTTAAATTCATAATCGAGCTTGATTAATAGAACCAGCCATTGACTTTTCATTCTTTATATATTCGAACTCGTCGAACATATAAGCTTACGAATGTTTTCTTTCAATATACGGTTGTAAAAGGTAAATGAGTCTATAACGTCTCACTTAGGAAAAGAAAATGATGACCTTATACACAACCCGTGAATACAAATTATTATCGTGAATTTCAAAAATAATTTCAATACTGATAACTTTATTCTATAAAACGATATGTCCTTAATTATATTTAATAAAATTAACATTTTGATTTTGTTCGGTGACCTTTAAAAAATTCTAAATAGAATGGACATTGAAAAGGATATGGAAAGTGAATGTAAATCATTTCTTTGGGCATAGGAGCTATTTGAAAAATATTGAAAAATATTATTATTATTAGTATTAGGTGTTTGCTAACATTTTGATCTGCGACCTCTACAGTTAAAAATGATAAAGAAATGTACGTAACGATTGAATTCGATGGCTTTCCTTGACTTTCCTCTACATAAAATAATAGTTTTTCATTTAATATTATTGATTTATTTAGCGCACGCTAAAGGCTAATCACGAATCGTTCGAAATTCTTCTTCTTCCAAATTCATTAAATTTGTTATTCATTTGCAGAAATCTGCAGCCGAAGCCCACCGAACACGTTCTCAGGTTTATGGTGATGCTGCTCCATTACATCCAAAATTGGATTTAACGGTTCAAAAGATGCGAGACGAATTGACTGAAAATGCCATTTTTTGGCCACTTCATCCATATATATATTGTTCCAGCTTGAAAGGGAAGCTCTGCCACACTCAGCGCTCTCACTAGATATGGCGCCTTCCGATTACCGCTTGTTCAGATTGATGCAATATGACTTGGCTGGCACGCGAGTCCGTAAAGTTGAAGAAATGGGTCGATGGGTGAATCGCTGGCAAACCAATACGAGTTCTTTCGACATGATACCGTCATGTTATCAAAAATATTGCAAAGTATGGTAGAAAATGACGGAAAAATATCTTGATCAATGTATATTGCACCGATTTTCGACAATAAATGCCTAAACACCTAATATTTCACATTTATCTTACACAAAAACTGTGCAAAAATATCAAGGGTATTACACCGGATTGATAGATACCCTCGTCGACTTATTTCTTTTTGTTGGTTTCTGTTTGGAAAGCTTCTGCACAATATTTTCTCATGCTGGATTTGGACTTAAACTAAACACCCATACCCAACAGCACTCCGCCGATGCATTTATTCATTGGTTTTTGATAATACGCCACACACCAAAAATTACACATTATTTTAATGCAAAGCCATAATTTTCATGAAAGCCCACATATAGGAAGGTTTGGATTCTCTCTCCATGTAAGATTCTATGCTTCGTAATCGCGCTTATATAAGTTGAGATCCAAAAAACTAAATCTGTGTCACCCAAATTTTCTACCATCAAATTTTTTTTGCTGGAACGTTATTATGAGTTAATTTTCACCATAAAATATTAAAAATTAAGCTTTATTGCAAAAAGTTGACTACTCTGACTAAGATATCTTATATACAGTGGAGCCAAGAAATAAACTCATAGCGTTGAAATTAGCTCCACTCCTAAAGCTTTAGTTTCCGTAAAAACGGTTATATGAGGTAGAGCTCAGAAAATTGCCCCAGCCGGTCCAAAGTTTTTATACCAATTTAGAATGCCGAAACTGAGCCGCTTTTAGCGAAAAATTTTGAAAATTGCAATTACTTTCCGTGTAAAAACTTTTCAAAATAGATCGTTTTATGGGGAGTAGTCGAAAAAATGGACCGACCCGAAACATTTTCAATAGTGTTCGTCCTTGGGCTAAAATATGACTGTATACCAAATTTCATCAAAATTGCCGCCTGCAGTTTGAACACAACAGTACACGGGCAGACATCAGACAGACAGACAGACTTAGATCGGTTTAGAAAATGAATAAAAAAGGTGGATGTTAAACCCTTTGATTGACAATTACATACGTCCGCACTAACTTAAAATACTCTGTATCTCAAGTTGTGTAGAGCATAATAACATATAGTTTATTATAATATATTAGTTTCTAGTATGCCAGCATATGACTATGCTAGTAAAGAAAAGGGCATAGTAACAAATACAGAACTGGGATGTTTCTATTTTTCGCTATTTTAATTCCATTTGCTTGGAAATTAGCGTTATGCTCGTCATCTTATATCAATTATTGGAAGAATATTCAGTGACACAGCTAATTTCGTTGCAATCGATTTATGTGTACATCTATACATATCATTCTATTTTATTTTAACGATAATTAGAAAAAACGGAAATTAGGTGCATAGGGGCTACATACTAGAGCAATTAAGAACAACTTTACTTTCCATCTCTCATTTAAAATTTCTTTTTTTATTCGTGAGCAGTGATGGTGTGTGAAAAGATACCAGTGGATCATTCGAATAGCAGGTGATTAAAGTCTAAGCTATTAATTTCACTTTGGTATAAAATAATAATATTTCGACCCGGACGTGGTCCGTTTGGCCCTTAATTTACAGTTGTTGGAGTCAGAAAGCTATCAACGACTAGAGGGTAGCAATTTTTAGTTAAGCGTCCCATCAAATACTTTTTTTGTGTATCAAAAATGGTACAAGAAATGGAAGAAAAACTTTACGTGGAACGGATTCGATGGGGAATTAATGCTAACACAATTTAATATGCGTGCTGATAAGCAACTTCTGTTATGCGTTTCTTGATCTTGTTGACGAGTTCTGCAGGCTATCCAGACAAGTCTATCCATGGATGCCAGGTACCAATTTTTAATTAAGCATTGCAGAGCATCTTTTCTGTTGTTGTATAAGACATGATAAAAGAAATGAAAGATAAACTTCGCTATCAAAAGGATTATTTTGTAGGAAACTTGGGTTTTCTTTGTTGTAAGCAACTCCTGGTTGTGCTTGTCTTTGTCTTTTGACAGATTGTTGTACAATAAACTATGATTGCATTATTCCTGATATTTATTGAAATAATTGGATACAAAGAGGAAACCCACATTTATTTTCATAAGCACGCACAATACGATAAACGTTTGATAAGCAAACATAGCCTGAATAAAATCTACATACATATTTATTCGGTTTATATTATTTCACTTCCTTGCATCAAAAATGTTGTGTTTATTAACGTTTGAATGACTTTGGTATCATTGTAAACAAACAAACGTCAAATTTGCCCCATATTTTCCCATTATTTTTTTGAAATAAATTTCGTATTACGAAAGTCATACATAAATATAAATTTTTGAAGGCTTTCAAGGCAGGCCGTTAAAATAAGGGTTAGTTAACTAAAAGAAACATAATCAATGCCAATATGTTTTACGAATACTATTCTTGGAATCGAACTGTAGTGATTGAATCAAAAACGTATAAAACGACGTTTGTCGTATTGTGGCGTAGTTCACTTTTATTTTTATTACTTTATAATAATAACTATTTCATGGTAAATACGAATTTTTATGACACAATTTTATTAAAAATCGAGGTAGTTACAATTCTAAGTTTTATCTTGTTTTGTAGTTGCTTTGAAAATATGTTGACGAAACAAAATATTTATGAAAATTACTCTTCTTGAATCAATAAAAATCGTCAGTTGCAATCTTTCGTTTGTTTTTTTTTTTTTTATGCTAAAAACGCTTTATTTATTCGTTGCAATTGAGGATTATTCGTGCTGACCATTTCCCACTTTACTTTCGCTTGTAATTAAAACTGGAAACATCACGACCAAAAAAATGAGTGAATAGAATGACGGGCCCTTTGACACACAGAATAACGGTTTAAATTAGTAAAAAAAAAAACCGCAATGAAAAGTGTGGCTAATAATCCGAAAATATTCATAAGAGTTAACGTATCAGATAAAAATTTTTATTTGCGTTATATTTGCTCCAAAATTTTCCAATTTTAATACGTCAATGTGAATTTCAGCCTAAAATCCATGCTATGAAGGCATTTTTCCTCATTTTTATAAATTATTTGCTTTAAAGGTCGTCCCTGCGTTTATAACAAAATTATGTTGTATAAATTATATATATTATATTTGGCTATGCGGTAGCCATGTATTTGTATCTTTATTTGTCAAAATTTGAAAATTAAGAAGCGAAGGGCACATAATAAGATGTTTGCAAGCGCAGATTCTATCATAACAAGCACACAAAATTGCCTAAAATAATTCATTATTGTCTCTATATCTGAGAATCAATTTGTTTTCCTGTGAGATTATGCATTGGTAATAAAACATATTTTTATATAATATATGAGAAGAAAAAAAACAATGAGAAAAAAAGTGTTTGTTCATATTATCAGACTCGTTTTACGGCTGAAATTTTATTTTAAAGCAAAGTAAATGCAAATAACCATATGCTTGTTAAGGTAGAATCTGCTCTCTCGAAATAGGGAAAATCGTTAAATCGCATGGCTAATTCTTACATCACATTGCATGCCATCCCAGTCATGAGCTTGAAATTTTGCTAAAAAAAAAAGAGCTGAAACGTAATGTTTGGTCTTATAGTATATACAATTTTCGTATTACCTTTTTCTCGGGATAGAATAATGTTAAAAAAGATATTTTTATGGGATATCGTAAAAATAATGTTTTATTATATTGGAAATTCCACGATTCCAATCAACATATGATTTTTTTTTTGATTTTTTCTGTGGCTTTTATTTGATTTTCTCAAAGGAGAGATTTTATTGAAGCAAAGATTCTAAAGCATAAATTAATGAGAAGTATTTTAAAAAAAAAGAAATAAAGATCCGTGCTAAGAAAATAAAGTGAAGCGCTTTCATTAACTTTTATTTCATTTTTCATAAAGTTAAGAAAATGAGTGTGCTGGCTTATCCACCCAACACTGAAGAAGAAATTCTTCGTCATTGCACCAAAGAATGCGGTATAATTACGACCACAGATGATCATCAATACTTCGCGCTTGGATGTCTGTCGTGTCCTGTAAAATTCTTATATTTTGATGCGTTCATCGAGCACATGCAAACAATGCATATTAATTGTGACGGTGAAAAAGGCAATTTTAATAACACAACAGAACATAACGGTGGTAATGTCGGAATTATTGAAAAAAGACGTCACACAGAGGAAGAGGGTGAAGACTTAACAGACACAGATCCAGCATTATTGGAACCACAAATGGTTTTGGTAAAACAGGAGAAAATTGATGATGAAAATGAAGATGTAAGTTTATGATGCAATGCGATGTAGAGTAAAGGAAACATTAGAATATTGAAAGCTTAAGTGCGATGCGGTGAAATATTTATTGTAGCATTTGTAAGCAAAACAACTTCACTATTGTGCCGGAAATTGTTTACTAGTAAAGTCCTAACAAATGCTTCATCTTAAATACGCAGACATTGAATGTCCTGTCCTGGGTTCCTTTAGAAGAACGTCATTAAAGTTGTTAAGTTTATTAGCAATCAACAAACGGGTTTTGTTTAAAGAGTAGATTTATAAAAACACTACCTGTTTGTCAGGTTTCGAAAATTGCGGTTTTACATTAATGGAGAACATTTTAGGTGCTAATGTTTTCAACTCTTCCAAAAATGTGAAATACGATATCGATTTAACAATTAACGTTGGGAATTATACGTTCAATCGATGATATTTTGTATTGAACATAAATTCTTTCCTCCAGATCGTTTATCTTTAGCAATTTTCTGTACGCTCCTAGTGCGACGTTTACTATGTAACAGAAAACTCTATCGTCGTTTATTAAAATTATATGTATCCGATTTATTATAAACATTAAATTTATCACTTCATGGTGGATATGAAAATGTTTATAACATTATTGACAAGCTCAGATTTTGTTCATGTAATAATTAACAGGATGGCGCACGTATAGATAATGAACCAATATTACCAAATGATGACGAGATGCCGGAATTGTATTACAATGTGAAACAGGAGCAACCAGATACTGAAATGAGTATGGACATAGGTGATTCAAGCTTTATGGGAGATTCCTTCGGCAGTTATGGTGAAGAGTATGGCGCAGAAGGTGATGAGGAAGAACCAAGCAATAATGGCGATGATGATACAAATTATGATGATCTCGTAGAAGAGTCCTTATTAGAGGTAAGGCAAATCAATTTAAGGTAAGGTGTTCGGCAGTCGCTAGCCGGTCTAAGTCGAATGTAATAGACAGATTGTTCCTAGGCTTAATTAGTTGTACTGTACGGCGCTCTTCCGTTAAATGTGTACTAAATTCCCTGCCAACTCGTTACTGGCCTTAAAAGTTTTTTCCTTACGCAGAAATTTATTTAAAATATAGTAAATTTTCCTTTTTCACTGTGCACCAGTGCAATTAAAAATTGTCGGGTTTCGCGTAGTTTATTATTCGAAAAGTTAGTCATTTCGTTTGCATTCAATACTAGGAATTTAATTTTGAATTTTTGTTTCACTACAGAATTCCTCATCAGTGGGTGTTACTAATCACATTAAAGATCGGAAAATGATTCAATTCCTTATCGATGCGTATCGAAGAAATACGTTTTTATGGGATCACCACCATCCGCAGTTTCGGGATCGTATTAAACGTAGTCGATTCATTGATTGGATCAATTTGGAGTTCAAAAGACGATTTAATTTGATTTTGGCCAAAGATGCAGTTACCCGTAAGTGGGATAATTTGCGGACAGTATACAAACGTGAATGCAATCGTATGGCTTTAGAAAAAACGAACGTTAGTACGCTGTGGTATTTTAAGGAATTACACTTTCTGAATCGGCTATACGGCGGTAATCAAAAATTATCGGACGCTGTAGTTAAGGAGACAGTGTATCGTAGACGATATTCAGCTCTATGGAATGATTTATCAACTAACAAATTACTGGCGTTATTAAAAACGTATCCTTGTTTTTACGATAAATACAATATTGATTATCGTAGTAAGGAAAAAAGAGGCGAAGCATTGCAAAAAATGGCAATTGAATTGCAAAAGATGATTGAAGTAACCACTATACAAATATCAAAACGTATATCACAATTGCGATTTGATTACTCTAAGCAAAAGCAGGAACGCTTAATGTGTGAAATGACCGGTCGCATTTTTTCGCCAACCTATAGTTATTACGAGCAGATGATATTCATGGACGGAGATATAGCGCCTTTTAAATGTGAATACTGTCCCATGGTTATAAATACGCCACGAGAGATGGATACCCATGTTATGACACATCAGCAATCTTCTAGCAGTGGTAGTGTTGGCGGTTCCAAGTATTATTGTCCATACTGCCAGTTAGGCTATAATGATTTGGAACAATTTAATATACATAAGCAAATTCATATTCAACCATCTCAAAGCAAAGAGGCAAAATACAATTGTGACTTATGTACGGCGAGTTTTCGGGAGAAAAGCAACTACGACGAACATATGAGGCGACACAACGACGAATTATTGTTACCCGATCTTAGTACTATCCCACCGGACAGTAGCGACGAAATTATTACTGACGATAACGGGCCATTTACAATGAGTTCCCAGGATCAAGAGCGTAATTTTAAATGTGATTATCCAAGTTGTGGGCTTACATTTACAACACGCACTACAATGATGGATCACGTAAAGCAGCACTATAATGAGGAAGAGTTCAGTTGCGAGATATGCGGCAAAGGTTTCAAATCTATAAAAAACCTACAAAATCACAAACAAATTCACGACGCAGTCAAAAAATACATATGCAAAATATGTGGCTCGGCATTTGCGCAAGCCGCCGGCCTTTATCTGCACAAACGACGACATAATCGTCAAAGTGAACGCAATCGCCTCAGTTACTATTAGGAAATTACCAATATTTAGTACCGATAACGAAACATTACAAAAAAAAAAATACTAACGTTTTTTTTTTTTTGTCCAAAAAGTCCAAAGTTAATTTTTAATCACGAATAAGAGAATAAGATGTCATTTATATTCAGTTTAGTTTGCGCGAATTCTCGATACCCCACCATCGCAACTACCATCACCCTACTACTATGTAGGTTTTATTGTAAACTTTTCATTCAACTTCAATTCAAAATCTCGCGTTGAAGATGAATTATTGCAATAATAAAGTTAAAATATCTCTTTATCGCTACTGGTGGTGGTGGTGGTAATGATGACGGATGATGGATAACGTATGTCCCTTACTAAGCACAATCAATAAATGGTTAAGTTCAATTACATCGAATCACGCCAATGATTTCATTTCATCACTACATTTCATTCATAGGTTGGTTTTTCCACGACTAAATATCATTCTTCTATACTTAGTTCACTTGCATTTCAAAACTTATTTTAATCTGAATTTATTTCATATTCCTTACAGTTGTATCTTTTTATTTTTATAAGGACCTATTATTACATTATAATATTAATAATACTAAGAAGAGGAGACAAAGTGCATCGATACTTTGTTCGTTTTTTTTTTTTTTTTTTTTTTTTGTAAAAAAAAATTATAGAGCACACATATTTAAAATACTTTACAGTGTATTGTGCTGCGCGTGCGCGATAAAAAATAATTTTATATTATATATATATATTATATATATATATATATATATATATATATATATATATATATATATCGATAGATACGTACACATAACAAAATAAAATAATATCTATTTTTAAATTTAACGAAATATCTGAAAAATATATCTATAGAATGTAATTACGTTTTCAATGGAGTTAGTAGTTAGACGAGATTGAATTCATTAAGTTTTATTATTTATTCAAAGTTCACATATAAAACTATTTACATACATAAATATATCTCCCCAAAATTATATATTTAATATTGATTTAAATTTTAATTCTATTCAATTATTATTTTTTAATACAAACACACTATGTCTGTCTTTTATTAATCTGAGTAACAAATAATTTACATCTATTTTTTTTATGTTAATTTATTTACATTCCAATTGGCCAAATAAAGAATTTTTTGGCCGTAGTACTTACACTCTATGGTTTTTGTTTCACGGGGACGAATGAGAGAAGTGTCTTTATTGCATGCTTTTAACTGACTGAATGCATTAATAAAAGCACACACTGTTTATAATATTATCTGTAAGATTATGATTTCATTTAAGATTAAATTTAATCCATACCGGAAATATTAGGAGAAAAAACAAAAAAACAAAAAAAATTACTTAAATTTTGTTTTAATTCAAAATAAATTGATTAAGAAATTCAAAACGAGAATCGATCCTACATCTCCTCTCCGTAATTATTTTGATATTAAAAAAAAATCAGAAATTTACCGTAAGCTCTTTTTTTATCAGGCCTTATTATTATTATTATTATTATTATTTTTATTGTTGTTGTTTCTATTCAAAGATTGTCTACGGATTGTCGCCTCTTACAGTAAATATGAATGCGCATATATATATACATTAGCTGCTTATCCTTTTTTAAATTACAAACAAACTTACATACACTGCTTGTTATCTCTCTTTTTCATCCCAATTAATCTTTCCGTTCAAGCCTTCCAATCAAGCGCTTCAAGTTGCGGGTATAATGCACTTTCCTCGATTTATTTTCGGCTAGCTAGCTAGACTAGTGTGAATAGTGAAATCAATTTTCTTCTTACTCTTTATTTTTCGATGCGCTCTCAGTCAGATTAAATTTTAATATATTTATCTATAAAATATCACCCATTTCTGAAAACTAAAAAAATTATAATAATTTTTCTTTTCCATATGTTTAACGGATAAGCCAATATATATATATATATATATATATATATATATATATTTAAGGAATGTTGTTGCATGTGCGCGTATGTATATTATACTTTTGTTACATATGCTACTGTAACAAATGACATTTTTCATAATAACCATCTGTCCACCTGCACGCACTCAAGATGTGTAATACGATGCTGACGATTAAACGGAATTTTGCATTTATCTTTGATTAAATACGTTTGCAATTATTTTAATTATACGCGAAGCCAAAAAGGAGATTATATGCTACTCATGTTGTTCAAAATGTTAATCGCGCGAAACATCTTTAGCGCTGAGGGTTTGTGCCATTTCTCTCTCTCTCTCTCTCTCTCTTTCTTTCGCTTTCTTTCTTCTAGTCCTGGAAAACATTTTTTTCCACAATTGTCATGAATCTAATCCTTTCTTTGTCGCCAGCACTGCAAGAGGGGGTCTACTCGTTTTGTTTTTTTTGTTTTTCTTTTCATAATGTATGCAACATCCAAAAGGAAGCTTCAAGGTCCCTATAAAGTATACATGTATTCTGGATCGGTATGATATTCTGAGTTGATTTAGCTATGTCTGTCCGTGTGTGCGTCTGTGCGGTGTATGTGCTGTTGGCATTCGGCTGGCCGCAAAAATGAAGTTATTGACTTCGAAAAACCTTGGAAGTTTTTGAATGCAGGTTGATATTGAAAATGGGTCATATCGGTGGGGGGGGGGGGGACACGCCTGCAGCACCACGTAAACTGATAACACGTCTGCTCTTGCTCATTGCGCATAAACTTTAGCAGATAAATGTACAAAAATTTGAACGCACATTCCAATGGGAAAAATTTACCACCCAGCCTACCCAATATTGAAGTGTATCAAAGTGTAGTTTTTTTTCGAATATTTTTTTATAAGGCATAGAAACAAACTTCAAAAACTCCATAACGTATATAAATCCTTCGACAGTTACAAATTTGGAATCCATCTGAACATGTCTGTCTGTCTGTCTGTCTGTCTGTCTGCACAACTGTATAGTATTTTTGGTAAGCATTTTGCAAGAGAATTTGGAAATGACTTGGAAACTTTTCGATGGACACGGCTACTCCATTTTATAGAGCATGAAAATTTAGTTCTTTTACTTTTTTTAAAATCTTTTTTAGGATAAGGGTAATGGATATAAAAGATTCGGATATGACCGAATATAATTTACTTACCCGCTTCATTTGACAAAGCATTTTTATTGAGAAAAATTAATACAATCAAAATCTTAATGAAAATATTTTCCATCACTTTTTTCAACTTTTTGTGGCAACATGGCGATACCGTTTCGAAAGAACTTATATTGTTTTTTTTTTTTGGGCAGCGACCCCCACCGACCCATTTTCGCACTTTTTCAACTTTGCAGATCCGCGTGTCAACCAAGCCATGCCGCAACCATTCTGGACAAGTGGTAATCGGAAAGCGCTATATCTGCTGAGTACGCTAGATGCGAAAGCACTTCCCATATCAGCTGCAAGAATGTATACGTGACAATTCTTGCAACGTATGGGCGAGCGTTGTCATGTAAGAGGATACGTGCATCTGGTAGGCGCTATTGCTGGCCTTTTTTTTAATAATCCATTATTGAATTGAAGTCGGTAGACATCTGCAGTAACAGTTTCATTCGGCTTTAGCAGCTCGCAATAGACTACATGGTGCTGATCCCATCATATGCACTGCACAACTTTATGATCATGAATGTATTCTGGCGCGGTATTGATGTGGATGACTCTCTTAAACTAACCCATAATACTTGGGCTTGGGATTGTCATGGTAGACCTACTTCTTCTTCTTCTTTTTTTTTGCCTGGCAAGCAATGAAACCATTCGAAGTGGCACTTCGTTCGTTAGAAATTTTGATTCAATTTCAATTGGTTGACGTTTAGTTTTTTCGCTATGAATCCTTCATTCATTCACGGCATTCTCACCTTACACTTTACAAAAATTTTTTTTGCACAGTTTTTACCTTTTTTATAGTAAAAAAGCATTATATAGCGTATTCTTCAGATATTTTGCTCATTTTCAAATCGATATAACCTTCTACCCGAGCAAAGAATAGGCATCAACACCACCTATTCGCAAAAAACTACGGAAACCTTTTGTATAACTCATTAAATAGAATTTCATATATATGCCGTGTTATTTGCAAATGGCTTTTGTACATAAACACCATTGTTTATCTTAGCAATATTTGTGTTAAGCAAAATCAGAAATGGTCGCACCATGTACGGCAATAACTTACAAACAGATATAACGTTTTAAAATAGTCAACAACAACATTATTGACGGCACAGATCTCTTCGCTTTAGATAGTAGAATCAACGAATTAAAAATCAAAATCATCCCGAAACTTCTCAACGTGAGCAACAGAATTGTCGGCAAGGACTTTTTGCTTTTTCCTCGTTCTGCTTGGCGGGGTGGCAAGATCCGTTTCCACGTTTCTCTACATTGCCACAGTTGTCTACTCACTCTTCGAGCTCTGCTCACCAAATACTTTTTCCTAGGAGATAAACATAGGCTTCGCTCCGTCCAGTGAGAATACTATGCCCATGCGTAAGTATTGACTGGTCTATCTCTAAATAATTACCTCGGAAACGATTATTGTCACGAGCAGCCGAAACCATTTATATCGTAAAATAAGGAGATTACAGTCATGCTGGTCGCGCGCGAAAGTAGCAAGTCGAACCAGTAGCCAAATTTACGATTTCCACGCCGCTAATAACGGATGGCACAAGGGAAAAGATGGACCTTCGTAGATATATCAGAAAAATGTTAAACAGTACTACAATCTGTCCGACTCTCATGGTAATCTTGATTCCGGTTCATCAACGATGATCACAACATTTGCAATAATTTGCCTCGACCATACTGAGTCCTTAAGAAATCTACTCATCGCAATTTGCAATTGTGGATAAAATCTTGCGATTAAACACAAACAAATCGATTGTGAAACTAGTAATAAAATATATTAATCTTTAGAAAATCGTACCGTTCATATATCGTTTTCATCTACTCACACAATTATCCCTTTATATGGATATCGATTTATTGATCGATGGATTTATTTAATGATAATTCCGTTAGAAGTTTCAATGTTTTTCAGACCATTTTATAGTTGACTTAGACGTAGTCAATTATTATTACCATTCAATAAATCAATGAATTCGTCACCTAAACATTGGTTTTATTTAAGATTTTCTATTATTTTAAAAATTTTCATATAACAAACATAAATTAAAATGACTAGATTAATTCACCGTCTTGATTGACTTTTATAATTTTGATACGATTGCTATTTTGAGCTAAGATTTCTTCAAAACTCTTATGTTTACTATTGATAAACCAACCAAGATTGTCAATGATTAAATGATTTACGGCACAGCCATCACATTGAAGTATAACAACACCATTTTTATAAGCGGCTTCATTAACTTGCTTCGTATTCCGAGTATTACATAGTTTGCATATGTATGTTATATCTACTTTACGCTGGATGCGGCGGTATAATTTTAACGTTGTAGGAGAGATTGAACCCGTCGAATTTGAATTGTTGAGAAAGCTTTTGCCAGCAAATTTAGTAGCTTCTAATATGGCTTTTGGTATTACTAACGGTTCTGCCGGACGATTTTGTGTAATAATATTATTTCCATCGCATAAAGAATTTGAAGAGGTGGTAGCAGCATTATCAGCTGGTTGTGTAATATTAAAAAGAGCATTTTGACCATTATGCCGCAAAAAGTTCAACGCTCTCGCGCTGAAAATATTGCGCAACGCGTTCATATTTTATTATTACTTATTAACTATTTGAAAACGAACCTTTTTCATACTTTATCACGCACGTAACCTTTGCTCTGTTTTCTTTTCTTTCTTTGCTTTTACGCAACGTACAGGGTACTCCATCGCCGCGAGCGGCAAGTTGCCGGTGAAAAATGCAAAAATAATATAATAAAATTTCGTCATTACATGTATTCTCAATTCGTTGATTCACTTCGTCTTGGAAGATATATATGGAGTGTGAGACATCCGTTTCCAAATCGTAGTTATTTTGAGCGTGATTGGTTTTTTTTTCTTCTCCAAATTATATTTTCTCTTCAACAATTTTTAAAGGTAGAGGGCAACACTTAAAAATTGTTGACAGTTGCATCGGCAACGTATTTATATTTAACCTCAATTCGTTATAAAGTTGGAAAGATGAAGTCTTCAAAATTGTTTTTTAATTGTTATTATTCACGTTTTCATTCACCTTTTAATAAATCCGCGAGTACGCGATTAGTAGCTGCTATAAGACGACAGATGGGGCAGTATTCGAAGGAACAATTTGTGAAATTTAAGCAAACATATTTGCAGAATAGGACGGAGCTCGAGCCAAAGGAATGGCGCAATATCAAGCAAACGCTGAAAAGTGAATTTAAGCACATTAACGATGATAATATCGATGCTACAATTCTTGGTGCATGTCAATCTGAGCAATTGGAGTTGGCCAAAAATTATATAGACTTTATTGCACATAGTGGAGGGCAGCCAAATGATGCAACCTTGGGTTATCTATTAAGGATTTACAATGCTAAATATCATTCGAATGGCGGTTCACCGGAATCGTTATCAGATGGCGATCAAGCGGACGTTCTGAATATTTGGGGAATTTTAACAGAAAGGCATAAGATTTTGGATTCAACGCTTTGCGAGAATTTGATCGCTGGATTAGTAACTACACGTAAATGGCGAGAAGGTTTAGAATTACTGAATATGATAAAAATTACAAAGAGACCGAGCATTTTTGCTTACACTGAATTCATTGTAAAGGCCTTTTCAATGAAAGATTTATCGCTTGGTTGGTCACTATTCGGAGAGATGATGGAAACAATTGATGATAGTAGGCAACCCGATTGCAAAATCTTTTTAACTTATCTTAACGCAGTGTCAGATGGTGTTCAAGACGTTACAAGTGGTCTTGAAAAAATGTTGCAAACTTTGCAAAAATACGATTTACTTATCAGTGTAAAAGTAATTGATTCCATTAAAATGATAACTGCAGCATATCCGAATCGTTTGCAAGCGGCCAATTGTCACATAAATCAAATTGGAACATGTTCCAGGTGTAAACTAAACTTGCAAACGAAGGCACTCAGTAATGCCGATTTTGAAAAATTAAGAAATTCTCTTTTAAAGAAAGTTGTTATCGGCGGAGATGTTTTCCAAAAATCGACCCCAAAGGAAGTGAACGAATTCTTAAATTTCGTAGATCGGACCGGACCATATGACTGCGTGATTGATGGTCTCAACGTAGCTTATTCTAAGGGTAAAAAGAATCCTCAATCACTTGCCAACCTGGTCAGTACTAGTAACAATGATGCAACACATTTTTACTTGAATTTCAATTTTCTTAGTTGGTCTCGGTTGTAAAACACTTTGCAGACAACAACAAATACGTATTAGTATTGGGACGGAAACATATGAATAAATGGCCTAAGAATAGCATTCAATACGTGAGAGATAACGCGGCAATGTTTTTGGCAGACAATTTGTAAGTATTACAATAGTGCACTGTTTAATTACCAAATATGTCTTGTATGGATTGTAAAATAGAAGGATATGTATTTCTAAATTGACTTCAAAGTATGCAAATGTTATAATATTATTGATTTAAAGTTGAAATACTGAAATTTGCCAAACCGCTTACAATGACGTTTCGCCTTAGAAAAGGATAAAATTTAAGAACATTTATAATAGTTAGGATATTTCCAATTGGTATTTGCCGCATATACTACGAAGCACTAAATACATGTTTTGCATATAACGATATTTACGTATAAGGATATATAGGAAGCACTAAGTAAATATTTTGCGTAGAAATGGTAGTGTGATATCAAAATAGCACTTTTTAGTTTATAGTTTCAAAGTTTGAAAGAACCATTTCTTCGTTGTAAACGATCCTGCCAATGCATTCTTTATCATATTACTTTATAGATTTAAACTTAACGAAATGTTATTTGATTAAACATATGGCACATTTTTTGCAAAAAAAATTGGACGTTCATTTGGGTGATGGACCGTTTAAAATTTTCAAATTTTTTCTTGCGAAAACATTGTTTATACCGTGTTCCAGACGTGTTCCTTAACCGATTCAGTCTATTTTCCATCGATTTTCCAATGTATTTTCTAAATTTTAAGCCGAAATTGTGATCTTTGCGACCGAGAAGATATTTACTATAGACCAGCGGACAGACGTGCCTAGCTTGGTACTGATCTAGAATATATATATATTTTATAGCGTCTCTGAGGCTTTCTTCTATGTGTTGCAAACAAATAACAAAATAAATATACATGTGATCCTTCGGTGGTACGTATAAAAAAAAAATAAAAAAAAAAAAAAAAAAAAACGGAAAGTAGAATATTAAAGTATCAATTATATCAGCCCCGGTATGTTAACGAAATGAAAAATATTTAAAGAAAAATCCGCATGAATGGCCGAATAGGTAAGATTGACGGCCGCAAAGTCACTGTTTGCGGATTCTAATCGCAATGCGGTAGACTTGACTTTGCTCGTAGCTATAGTGAGTGCTCAACCGGTAAAGGCATAACACTTATCGAATGAGTTCACATCCACTAGAAGGACGGCGTCAAATTTCCTATCTTTTTCTTTTTTCTTTCTTTTTCCTCACTACGTCGTAAGTGTCAACGCGCCACGCGAAGAGGAGAGGAGAGGAGAAGACATCCACTGAGTGATCGGTCACTCACACACACATACATACACACACACACACACACATACACACACACACACACACACACACACACACACACACACACATTTACTTATAATTCTGCTTAAACACGTTTGAGTTGAATTTTCGTTCCGGAATACAAAAGTACATTCATAGCGGACATGTAAAATTCTGAATTTAATATGTATACAACCTTGTTTTTTTTCACTTTTCGTCTCAGGTCACAAGATGATCCCTTCCTTCTGTATGCAGCATTAAAAAGCGGTCCAAAGACAGATATTTTTTCGCGTGACCTTATGCGTCAACATGCTTACTTATTGGGCTCTGAACTCAAATGCATATTCAGACAATGGCAACAACAGCATCAATATTCGCTAGTTACCAAGACAGGCAGCGGCAAAATTTTAATTAAGGTACGAATTTAATAATTTGGCCCTTTAATTCAGCATGTGAACCGTCTGCCTTCTACGCAGGAACCTACGCGGTACCTATGTTGCGCTCATAAAACTGAAAGTACGTGGCATATACCATTTAAAATGCAATACACTTTGCATTCAAGCGACAGTTTTGAAATTCCAGAACACTGGCTGTGTTTAAATATTAAAAAAATTTAAATTTAACAAAAAATTTTTCAAACAAAAATTTTAGTATCTAGTTCTTATATGTCGATTTTATGTCGTGTGGCAGATTAGTTGAAAATTTTTAGTGTTTTTTACTTATTTATTTATTTATTTATTTTTTTTTTGGAAGAAAGAAGGGTTAGATTAAGATATTTAGCAAAATGGCAAGCGAGAATGTGGAAGATTGGGATCAACCGTTGCCTACCGAACCTACAGAACCAACCGAAGGTGATGATGACGGATTGGCAACATTCGAAGAAAGCGTACGCCAGAATCAGATAAAGAAACTTCAACGTTACGTTGACATGATGTATTATATTCCGGCTCCTCCCCCTGATACCAAAACATATCCAATTCCGTCACCAAAAGCACCGCGGATCATTGAAAGACTCGCTGTGCCAAAAAAACTTCGTTTGATGTATACGGCGGAAAACTTTGCCGATTTGATGGAACCCAAGGGAAGGGGAGAACGCGTACAACGGTTAGCTGGCAAATATATATCTATGACACCAGAGTAAGTGCTTGAAATGGCATACAATTTATTATTATCCGACTTTTCGGCCTAATTTAATAATATTGTACAAATATAGACAATTGGAGCAAGTAATTAGAACTAGCAAGGCGAAAGAACGCCAAAAGGAGGACCTTTTGAAAAAGAAACAGGAACTTTATTATGAAATGCTTACCAAACTGGAACGACAATGCCGTACGCAATATTTAAACGTTTTAATAAAGAAATTTGGAAATTTTATAGCTAAACTGGCTACAACCATGCGTATTCCGCCGACGTTAGTAGAGCCCTACGCGCGCATGCAACGAGGCATTTTTTGTAATATCTTGCTGGCAATTGGAGTTCAGCCCGCCAGCCAAGCGGCCATTTATTATAACACCGAAGAAGGCAGTGAATATGAAGTGTGTCATAAATTGTCCCACGCTCTACTCAGCTTAATAATCAAAGCACTAGATTCAGCTTCAACTCGTAATCCTGACGACATGCAGCCGATTGAAGCTGACTTCGATATGGACAATTACATTAAAGAGCGCCTGATGTGCGCTGCTGAGAAAAAGGTTCAAAATCTTAGCAAGAGCCAGCAGAAGGGTGGTGCTAAACTTGAAACTGAAAAACTCCTTGACATAAATACAATTTTAAAGAAATGTCAAGCCCTGCACTACGATAATCATAAATAGATGCTTCGTTGACTTTGAATTTTGCTGAAATCGTAAATCCTTTCCATTTTTTGAAATATACTTCTTATTAATAAGTAAGCAACTTTTTATTTTGTCTACATTTAAGAGCCACATATCGATGTATTTTAAGATCACCTTGCAGCGTTAAGAGAGTAAACACGAGTCGTCTTATTTCCAGCGCGAGATATATTTTTTTAATTATTGGTAGTGGCGGTGGTATGTACACGCCCACCACTGTTAAAGAGCTACTTTGTATAAATAACGAAGCCTTTCTCTTTAGAGAGCAAAAACAAACACAAATTATGCGAGTATATTGTAAATTTCTATCATCGCCAGAATTGCCAAAAAATCTTATATAAATATCCAAATTGAACAGTTATGCAAGTAATGAGATTATAACTGCATAAAAGTGCAGGTCTTATCAATTTTAAACATAATTTAAGAATTTTTGGGCAATCGATTTCATATTATAAACTAAATTTTGTACTTTTTAAATAAATTGTTGATGTAATAAAACAAAGTCGAAATTAGTGTGTTTCCAATTAGAATTAGAAAACGCTTTTCATATCGCTACAATATTTAGTGTTCATTATGGTAATGCCATTTTTTTAGGATATATTTCTTTCGTTTGCAGTCTTCTTTTTCGGTAAAGCGAAACCATAAACTGGTTTTGTTTTTGTCAACCAACATTGATGCTTTCAAAAGATGAGCCATACAGTATTGTTGTTCTTCATTCTTGAATGCGATTTTGAGGAATTATTGTTATCATGCATTTAAAATTATTGCAAAAGATCACATAAACAAGCTAACAAGCATAATACGTCGATAAAGAATATTTGCAATAATAATATGAATATCTGCGCTCAGTCTGTTTATTATTCAGAAGTTTTCGCATTAATCAAACGAATAATTTATTACAACAAAACAATGAATTTTCTTACAAAATCTCTTACTTGCATATTTTCTTAATATTTGTATTATAATTAATGGCTCTTATTTATAACAGTTGCAATATATGACAAGCGTTAAGATTTCATTAGTTATGTATTAGCAGATGCTAGTAGCATTCATTTTGTATTGAACGTTCTAAAGCGAAATTGTATTCCTCCTGTTCGCCAACAGACATTTGTCTGGTGAGTAATGCTAATATTCCATCTACTTGTGTTTGCGTCAAGTCTAATGTAGTTTTGTTGCACAGTTGTGGTGCCAATACGAAGGGAACGTCTTGCACATATGGAACAGATGCTTGACCAATGGTTGTGTTACCGTTTACCCGCGGGTATAAATGATTTATCTTTGTTCCAAAGACCGGAGGCATTGGAGGATATACATTTCGTTGTGATCTTGACGGATCTTCATCACTTCTCCTTTCAATAAATATAAAATCATCTGCGTTTTGTTCCTGTGATACAGCGGGGCCCTGTATAATATCCTCGGGTGGTGTTTCTGCGTTGTGCTTCTTCTTTGAAAAAAATGACAGCATTTTAAAAGAAATGAAATTATAACGCAAATGACAACGTTTTATTTTAATTAAGTTTGAGACTCTTGACAACAAACCAAAACAATTAACAGATATTGCAGATTAATCACTACATATGAATAGTATGTTCAGTTGCAAAGAGCATGTCATTATCAATAAAAAACACCTTGACTTTATTATAACAACTCTGTGTTATTAGAAGCGAGTATAGGAAAAGTACAGCGATAATTATGTTACATAAGAAAAATCGAAACAGAAGTACCAAAACATAAATAAATATCGATGCTCGAAGAGTTGACACAACGTTTAGGAATTAAAAATTTCTTATTTAAATACTTTTAAGCTAATTACTATTCATCCATTTAGGCTTATTGAGTTTAAACAAATTCTATAGCACCAAAAGAATGAAATGATCTCTATCGTAGGTTGCGAGGGTGGATTCAATTACGGCGGCTAACAATGATACCAGAAATCAATACGACCACCTCTTTACATTACTATAGTTAACTATATAGCGAATTTAACATTGTCCACCAGTTTTGTCATTGTTAAGAAGCGCTATTTGTCAATTTTAAGGTGCTATAGGTGTAAGATGTAGAATATTATTATTATATTATTATTATTTGTGGCGCTAAGAGGATTTCATTTTCCGGCAAACAGCGCATATATATATTTATGCCGTTTAAGTAGCAATTTAGAACGTCATCTAAAAGCCCAAAAGAAACTTTAAAAAAATGTGATACTAGGTATTGTTATATTCCTGTATATTACTCAACATGTTATAAGAGAACAAAATGATGTAGAAATTTTCTCTATGCTTTCCACATTACAATAATTCGGATAATGTAATATAGTTCGAAAATTTTTTCTTAAAAAGAATTAAAAATATAAAAAATTGTCTTGACTATTAACTATTTTGTCAAAAGTATTAAAACAATTACGAAAATAGAAATCTTAAGTGTTTAAAGGTTAAGAAAGAAAATGCAGATTTTTTTCTTGGTTTTTATATCGGGCTTCTACTCGTTAAACTTTATAACACTTGAGTTATGTAAAGAAAAGGCGACTTAGCTTACATAAGGTGTCATTTAGAAATAATGGGTTATAATGCTTGTAACGTCCGCGTACGCTCTTGACACGCAAAGCTATGTTTACTTTAGTTAATATTCAAAACTTCATTAAACAACATCATAAATCTTATCGGTTACTTTACTATTCCGACAAAATATTCGCTAGAGATTGTTCTAAAATGTCGAATTCTAAAAAATCCGTTTATGTTACCCGCCCAGATGTAGCAGATATCGGCTTGGGTATTCTAAAGAAGGAGTAAGTTTGAATCTTTAAAGAGAATACTGTAATTGACAAAAAATTTTCAGGTTTGATGTTAGCGTTTGGTATAAGCATTGGTAAAAGCATTTTGTGTTAATTTTGTTAATTTTTTAATACGGACAAAATTTTACTTTCGGCGGTGAGATGTACTTTCGGCGGTGACATATACTTTCGTACAACGTACGAAGGGCCAGTGGATATATGCTATCTAATAAGAAACTTAATTTGTTTATTGTTGCCATATTTGCGTGCTACGTTTCCATCTTTCTACAAGTGCAGTATTGCAGTCATGTAGTAATAAAGAAATGAGACCGACCGAATATCTACAAAATATAAATGAAAGTGAGTTTGTACAATTAGTTTAATGTGCATTTCTAAATAGGATAACAACGAGAGCAGCTAATTAAAAAAGTCTTTGTTCTTCATACTTTTGTTCTTTTAAGTGAAATGTGAAACTGTTTAGTTATGTTGCGAATACATACAAAACGTACAGTGATTATTAAAGAGACAGATACAGTGTGACCATAGTTGCCACCGCTGGATTAAGAACACTACTTCAAGAAATTAATTTGTAGCAATGATGGTTTTAAAAGTATCAGTGGGAAAGAAGTAGATTCTCATAGTCCTATTTAATTTTTATTGGGAATATCGACTGGACAGCTCGAAATATTTAAAAACCAATGTCGAAGATAGAAAGCGATCCGAACGCTTCATTAAGCATAATGGAGGTGAGTAGAGAGCCGGCAGGAAAGTGCTAGCGTTTTGGTATTTTGACCGGAGCCAGCACAACAAGTGAAAATTTTGTGTACAGTTTTGATCATAAAGCCAATGTCTTACTTAATGTCTCCCCAATATATACAGAATTCTAACCAGTTCCTTGTTATTAAACGTTTTACAGCAAATTCAAAACCTTATCAAACCTCCACCAAATGAAGAGGAAAAACTATTATTGCGTCCAACAGTTATAAAACATCCGTATTATAAACGTCCTGGCAGAGGTCACAATCATGATTTGTGCGATGCATGCGAGGAGGGTGGAGATTTGTTGTGCTGTGATCGTTGTCCCTCCAGCTTTCATTTGCAATGCCAGTAAATAAAATACTATATACAGTTTTATAGACATATAATTGACTTTCTTGATTTAATTTAATATTATAGCGATCCTCCACTTACGGAAGAAGACATACCCAGCGGCCAATGGTTATGCCATAATTGTCGAATGACGCTAAAAACTGCTCCATCGTCTTCCAAATCGAGCTCAGTTGAGCGAACTTCTGCAACTGTGTCAGCCGCCGTGAATTCGCGTCCGAATACTCCTTCTGCGGGAGGTGATCTGGAATCTTTACCATTAAAAATTAGGCATTTGCGGAAACGTAGCAATAGTCGCACTTCATTTTGCAGCGATTTAAGTAGCACAGAGAAATATTTATCGAAGCTTCCAATGGGCATCCAGAAAGCATTGGACCCTAACAAGAAACCAACACCGTTGGATGAGCTTATAAAAGCCGCTAGTATATTAAATCCTCGTCAATTTGAATTGCCTCGTGAACTTGAAATTCATACACAGTTTCCTGGAAATGATAAAGGTAAGCTGGCGGATTATATGTTAATAGCTTAGATAATACAATGTTTTCCTTAGTTGAGCCCGTACGTAGTAATGGCAACGGTCACAAAAAGCCAAGTTTCCGCCGTAATTCGAAGCCATATGAATTAGATTCGCAGGGCTTAGTACCTTTACCAGCAAAAATTTGCTTTTATTGCCATCGGTCTTGTAAAAAGGCTCCATTGGTAGCATGTGATTATTGTCCACTGTTTTATCATCAAGATTGTTTGGATCCGCCTATGACAGCTTTACCTACTGGCTTATGGATGTGTCCGAATCATGTAGAAAATTTTATTGTAAGAATGATAGTAAACTAAATAAATTAAGATATATATTGATGATTTTAACCACCATAGGATAACAATCTGTTAACAAGTATTTCGGCTACCGAACGCGTACGTTTATGGGATAGATTTTCGCAACCGTTTGATCATGAAGCCGTTAAAATGGCATTTTTCCGCCGAGTGCACATGCAGAATCCACCATTTCGCATTAAAGTGCCGATTAAATCGCGTGAGACTATTGAAATTCCTCCAACAGTGAAATATCACTATGAAAATCCTCCGCCTTTATTACCCTCTCTTAGAGATACTCTACGCTACGATATTGTAAAAAAACGCAAATGTTTACCCATTGCCCCGGAAATTATATCCAAGGAAAGTGTAGCGGAGTCATTAGTTAGAGATTTAGAAGCCTTAAAAACTGCAAAAGCGAAACTCAGGGAGATTCAAAGGGAATTAGGGCATAAAATTGAAGGTTTAAGTAGCAGTTCTGAAAACGAGCAAGACGAGGGAGGAAAATCTAGAGAAGCGATAACAGACTGCTCCAAAAGCGACATCGCCAATGACAATGACAAACCGCAGGAAGGTAAAGAAAAAAACACACAAAAGAGTTCAGTGAAAACAAGACGTGCTAAACAAAATTCCAGTAAAAACAATGATGAAAATAAAAGTTCGGAAGGGTTGGTAATAGTAAATGGAAAAGAAGAAGCATCATTACAAACGCCTCAAGAACAAAAGAAAATTGAGGGCGAAGTTTTTATAGATTCTGATGACGAAGTAAAACATGATCCCCAGATCGATGCTGAACTGAAGTGTTTGGATGTAGACTTAATTAAAAAGTTGGCTTTTCAACGCCTTCAGCAATTGGTGCAAGATCACCCTGAAATTGTGATGCAATATCAAAATCGTACAGCTGCTAGACGTATTCGAGAACTAATTGAACAGCAGCAACAACAACAATTGTTACCATCTGAGATTCTTTCACCAACCGATATAAGGCGACTTTCCATTATGTTTACTGGAGAAACATCTTCCATTTTAGCTCAACCTAATTCTGCGTCAGAAAACGACGTGCCCCAATTACATCCAGCGTTAGCTACGGCCGCCGCAATAGTAGCTGCCGACGAAGACGAAAAAAAGTACGTGCCACGTGAACGCACACAGCAAGAGAAAGCTCACGAAGTAGCCTATCGACTTGAGCTAAAGCTAATTCGATGTAAAATACGTGCACGTGCAGTACTTACACCTCTTGGCGATATCCTTGAAGATAACCGTTGGTTTAGTAATATAGAATTGACATCGTCTTATTTTATGCGTTATCGCTCAATACATATTGGTTACGGTAGTGGCAACGGCTGTGTTGATGTTAATCTATCCCTGATAGGTTATTGTAGTCGAGTATCGCCGAAACATGCCACCATATTCTATGATGATTTTAGCAAAACTTATGAGTTGATAAATTACTCTGAGTTTGGCACTGAAGTAAATGGTCAATTGTATTCTTGTGATTTCACGGAGCCTGGGCCCACGCCCGCTAAAAAACTTCGAAACGAAGATGTAGAACTGCAAAGGAAAGTTCAGGCTATCCTGGATAGAAGACGAGGTCTGCAACGCCAACACTATGTTATAGATAGGAATGCTAGGTTTGTTTTGAATGCAAAACGAATGATTGAAACTGTATCCGATCTCATAATAAATAAATTTCATTTATTTACAGAATGGCTCCGCCATCTAAGCCAGAGTGCAAATGCTCCCACTTAGCGAATCCGCCAATGATTGCGGGTGCTTGGGAAGGTGCTGCAATACTACAACACGGTACTCTTTTGCGTTTTGGTTGCTTGGCATTTGTATTTTCGATACCTAGAATCGATATGTTCAACGGTTAGTTTTTAAACAGTTAAAATCTGATGTTCTTCTTTAACTTTCTTTCTTATTCTCTTTCATACTTCTCAAATGAAAAGTACAACCACATGGATTAGAATTTATATAAAACTTGTTTTTATTTCTGTCTTCATCCTTTAAAGCTTCTTCATGTATTTAATGGACTTTGCGGATAATTTTATTTTCAGTCTTTGTTTTATCCTTTTTTTTAATAAACTTTGTGACGTAGGCAAATGGGTTATAGACTATTAAGAATGTTCTAAAATAATAGTAAAGCATTCATAGTGACTCATCCCCATGTATATATGAGCAATGGGTGCATCATAAAACTTAATGTCCATCATGTTCAATTTAATTGTAACTGAAAAACATCCTTCTACATGCCATCACAAAAAAGAAAACTTAAAAAAAGGTTTACTAAATGCAATTTCAATAAAGCAAAGAAGAAAAACATTTTATATTAATTTTCGGATTTCAGGGCACTTACCTAAACAAATAAGTAAAACATAACAACAATCTTTGATACACATCATCATTTCAAGCAAACGTATGAAAATTTCTGAATCCTTAATTTGTTCTCGTCGAAAAATTCAAAACAAAGACATTTCTTACAAAATTCGCACTCATAGGAGGATCCCCAAAAGGTTAATTGCACAAAAACAAAACAAAAAACAAACTGATGCCAAAGGTTTCTAGTGCTACACATATCTTAAAGAAACGACAATTAAGCAAATGCACGAGATCAAAGATCATAATAAGATTATATGGGAATTGTGAAGGAGCCTCATTTTTGAAAACTCTCACAATATATATAAAGCAATTTCGTGTTCAGCTGAAGACAATAGACAATTTAAAGTGTACACTTAGGCAACCTGCAAACTGCGCATATTTGTTAAGTTTCTATAAATATTCGGGATCGAGATCTAGATGATTAAAAATTGCTTCGCAAGCATTTTGACAAAGAAAGCACATATTTTTCGCCTTCATTAAGCTAGAATCATATTAAAAACATACTTGCTAGTTTTGGAAATACCAATAGGTAAATAGGCGTTGTTTTGGTAAATATCAGTTTTGCGATCTGTTATAAGCGATAAGTTAATAAAGTAAATTCAAATATTTTTATCTTCATTTGAAGATGTCCAACTCTCTATCAAAATGGATTGCGCCCGTTTCCGAGCTATAATTATTGCTCAACGAAACATGAAAAGTTCAGCAGCCATAGCAAAGCACATTCAAAATTTCCTATCTGAAACTCTTCAGCCTTGATATGTTCACATGAAACAGTTACCCATTCAATTTAATTTTGAGTGTAGTCTAATATTGAAAAACCCATTAATTTTACTTTATAACTAAATGCAGCCATGGGAGTATCACAATGATGTGCAATTACAGAAAAAACAATAAACCAATTAATAAATATATATATAATAATTATTTTTAAGTAAGTAAAAAAGTATTAATCGGCGGGGGCCGAATCTCACATACCCATCATCATTAAATTTTTTTTAGCAAAATTTATTTTCCGCTTTTTAGCTTGCTAAAATAAAAGTTTACATAACCACATTTTTTTATATAATTTATTTTACTTACTATTTCTAAGCTACAATGGATGTAAATTTTTTACCGTAAAAATGATAATAGACTATCATGGGCATCATATAATATAAAATGTCAAAAAATTGTATATTATTTTTTAAGTAAATAGTTGATAGTTCAATAAATATATGATGAAAATTGTATGTA